TGAAGTCCTTGCCTATGTCTATGTCCTGGATGGTTTTGCCTATGGTTTCTTCTAGGGTTTTTATGGTGTTAGGTTTTATGTGTAAATCTTTAATCCATCTGGAGTTAATTTTAGTGTACAGTGACAGGAAGGGGTCCAGTTTCTGCTTTCTGCACATGGCTAGCCAGTTTTCCCAACACCATTTATTAAACATTGAGTTCTTTCCCCATTGCTTCTTTTTGTCAGGTTTGTGAAAGATCAGATGGTTGTAGATGTGTGGCATTGCTTCTGAGGCCTCTGTTCTGTTCCATTGGTCTCTGTCTCTGTTTTGGTACCAGTACCTTGCTGTTTTGATTATTGTAGCCTTGTGGTATAGTTTGAAGTCTGGCAGTGTGATGCCTCCAACTTTGTTCTTTTTGCTTAGGATTGTCTTGTCTATGCGGGCTGTCTTGTGATTCCATATGAAGTTTAAAGTGTTTTTTTCCAGTTCGGTGAAGAAGGTCATTGGCAGCTTGATGGGGATAGTATTGAATCTGTAAATTACTTTGGGCAGTATGGCCATTTTCATGATATTGATTCTTCCTAACCATGAGCATGGAATGTTTTTCCATCTGTTTGTGTCCTCTCTTATTTCGTTGAGCAGTGGTTTGTAGTTATCCTTGAAGAGGTCCTTTACATCCTTTGTTAGTTGTATTCCTAGGTATTTTATTCTCTTTGTAGTGATTTCGAATGGGAGTTCACTCTTGAATTGGCTCTCTGTTTGACTATTACTGATGTATAGGAATGTTTGTGATTTCTGCACATTGATTTTGTATCCTGAGACTTTGCTGAAGTTGCTTATTAGTTTCAGGAGATTTTGGCCTGAGACGATGGGGTCTTCTAAATATACAATCATGTCGTCTGCAAATATAAACAGTTTGACTTTCTTCTTTCCTAATTGAATACCCTTTATTTCTTTTTCTTGCCTGATTGCTCTGGCTAGAACTTCCAATGTTATATTGAATAGGAGTGGTAAGAGAGGGCATCCTTGTCTAGTGCCTGCTTTCAAAGGGAATTCTTCCAGCTTTTGCCCATTCAGTATCATATTGGCTGTAGGTTTGTCATAAATAGCTTTTGTTATTTTATGATATGTTCCATCAATACGTAGTTTATTGAGAGTTTTTAGCATGAAGGGCTGCTGAATTTTGTTGAAGGCCTTCTCTGCATCTACTGAGATAATCATGCGGTTTTGCCTTTGATTCTGTTTATGTGATGGATTACGTTTATGGACTTGCGTATGTTGAACCAGCCTTGCATCCCCAGGATTAAGCGAACTTGATCGTGATGGATAAGCTTTTTGATGTGCTGTTGCAATTGGCTTGCCAGTATTTTATTGAAGATGTTTGCGTCAATGTTATCATGGATATTGGCCTGAAGTTTTCTTTTTTAGTTGAGTCTCTGCCTCGTTTTGGTATCAGGATGATGTTGGTCTCATAAAATGAGTTAGGGAGGATTCCCTCCTTTTCTATTGTTTGATATAGTTTCAGAAGAAATGGAACCAGCTCCTCTTTGTACATCTGGTAGAATTCTGCTGTGAACCTGTTTGGACCTGGACTTGTTTTGGTTGGTAGGCTATTGATTGCTGCCTCGATTTCAGCCCTTGTTATTGGTCTATTCAGGTTTTCAACTTCTTCCTGGTTTAGTCTTGGTAGAGTACAAGCGTCCAGGAATTTTTCCATTTCTTACTGGTTTACTGGTTTATGTGCATAGAGCTGTTTGTAGTAATCTCTGATGGTAGTTTGTATTTCTGTGGGATCAGTGGTGATATCCCCTTTATCTTTTTTTATTGCATCTATTTGATTCTTCTCTCTTTTCTTTCTTCTTAGTCTGGCTAGTGGTCTGTCTATTTTCTTGATCTTTTCAAAAAACCAGCTCCTGGATTTATTGATTTTTTGAAGGGTTTTTTGTGTGTGTCTCTATCTCCTTCAGTTCATCTCTGATCTTAGTTATTTCTTGTCTTCTGCTAGCTTTTGAGTTTTTTTGATCTTCCTCCTCTAGCTCTTTCAATTTTGATGATAGGGTGTCAATTTTAGATCTTTCGTTGTTTCTCATGTGGACATTTATTGCTATAAATTTCCCTCTCGACACTGCTTTAAAGGTGTCCCAGAGATTCTGGTAAGTTGTGTCTTCATTCTGACTGGTTTTGAAGAACATCTTTATTTCTGCCTTCATTTCATTGTTTATCTAGTTGACACTCAGAAGCAAGTTGTTCAGTTTCCAAGTGGTTGTGTGGACTTTAGTGTGTTTCTTAATCCTGAGTTCTATATCTGATTGCACTGTGGTCTGATAGACTGTTATGATTTCCATTCTTTTGCATTTGCTGAGGAGTAATTTGCTTCCAATTATGTGGTCAATTTTAGAGTAAATGTGATGTGGTGTGGAGAAAAATGTATATTCTGTGGATTTGGTGTGGAGAGTTCTGTAAATGTCCATTAGGTTTGCTTGGTCCAGGTCTGAGTTCAAGTCCTGGATATCCTTGTTAATTTTCTGTCTCGTTGATCTGTCTAATTTTGACAGTGGAGTGTTGAAGTCTCCCACTATTATCTTGTGGGAGTCTAAATCTTGTTTTAAGTCATTAAGAACTTGCTTTATGTATCTGAGTGCTCCTGTATTGGGTGTGCATATATTTAGGATAATTACCTCTTCTTGTTGGATTGATCCTTTTACCTTTATGTAATGCCCTTCTTTGTCTCTTTTGATCTTTGTTGGTTTGAAGTCCATTTTATCAGAGACTGGGATTGCAACCCCTGCTTTTTTGTGTTCTCCATTTGCCTGGTAAATCTTCTTCCATCCCTTGATTTTGAGTCTATGTGTGTCTTTGTATGTGAGATAGGTTTCCTGAATACAGCACACCAATGGGTCTTGACTTTTTATCCAGTTTGCCAGTCTGTGTCTTTTGATTGGGGCATTTAGGCCATTTACATTCAATGTTAATATTGTTACCTGTTAATTTGATCCAGCCATTTGGTTACTGGCTGGTTTTCTTGCCCATTAGTTGACTCATTTTCTTCACTGCATTTTTGGTCTTTGCCATTTGGTGTGCTTTTGCAGTGGCTGGTACTTGTTCCTTTTCCTGCTTAGTGTTTTTTTCAGGAGCTCTTGTAGGGCAGGTCTGGTGGTGACGAAATCTCTCAGTAATTGCTTGTCCATAAAGGATTTTATTTCACCTTCACTTATGAAGGTTAGTTTGGCTGGATATGAGATTCTGGATTGAAAGTTCTTTTCTTTAAGGATGTTGAATATTGGCCCTCACTCTCTTCTGGCTTGTAGGATTTCTGCCGAGAGATCCGCTGTGAGTCTGATTGGCTTCCCTGGGTGACCTGACCTTTCTCTCTGTCTGCCCTTAGCATTTTTTCCTTCATTTCAACTCTGGTGAATCTGACCATTATGTGCCTTGGGGTTGATCTTCTTGAGGAATATCTTTATGGAGTTATCTGTATTTCTTGGATTTGAATGTTGGACTGCCTTGCTAGGCTTGGGAAGTTCTTATACAACCTGCATTTTAAAAAATCTCTAATTTTCACTACAACCAACCTTGGATGACCTAAATTTTAATTAACTTAAGAATGTCTCAAAAGCACTTGGAATGACTGATCTCACAAAATAGCACTATCATTTTTCCACGTGGCTGTACAAAAAGCGGAAGGGTCATACTTTATTCTGCCTTATCCCTACATACTTCACACACACAGAGATACTGCAGGTCTTACCTTCCCTACCTCAAAACACATCCTGTCAAGGTCCATTTCTTTCTCTGCACATGGCTGAAGCACTGATACCATCAGCTTGCTCCTCCCTAGACTTCTGCAATATTTTCTAATGGTTATTGCCACACACTATCTTCTCCCTCTCCAGTCCATTCTTTGCACAGTGACCAGAGTCACTTTCTGAAAATATGAGTCAGATGATTTTGTTCTCATTCTCTAACCCCACACACTCACAATATAATCCAAGTGCCTTACAATGGCTTAAATAATATGGCCCCTATCTGCCCTTTCAACCTCATCTCACCAGTCTGTGCATTGTCTGCCAGGCTCCAGGCACTTGAGCTTTTCTCTGCTCTTGGAACACATGGCGCCCATCCACATTGTAGACACACTGGCAGAAAGTCAGTCTGTGCCTAGCTTCTTTTTGTCATCCAGGACTCCGCTCAAATGCCACTTCCTGAAAAGGTGTTTCACTTACAACCTCATCTATAATTATTTTTATCTTGGTCATTTTCTACTCAACATGTGTTTAAAACACAAATCCCCATATGAAGTTACCCTGCTCATTGATTTGTTTACCTGCTTATTACCAGTTTTCTCAAACTAGAATGATATGTCTGGGGACCATGTTTGTCTTGTTCTCTGTGCCGTTTCCCCAGTGCTTAGATTAATGCTTCACACATAAATCACTGAATCAAAATTACTGAATTGAAGGAACTGTTAACAATTTTACACAACAGAAATGACACAGATATAAAAGCTGAGTAGAAGGAGCAGCCAATGATGAAATTAGACATGAAAGGAAACAAACTTTTCATGGACCTTGTTGCAAATCCACAGCAGTGCTTTTCAAACATGGATGAATGCCACAACCAGTTGGAACAATTTCTCAAAATATAGATACCTCCTACCATACCTCCCTGTTTTTCATTCAGCTAATTTTTGGTAGACCCAAATATCTACTATTTTAACAGGCAATCTGTGATGATTTTGATGAAGTAGTCCATGGACCACACTTGGTAAAATTCTGATGAAAACAGCTCACATTACTGTGCCATTAATTTAATGCCCACCATGGAGAACTCTGGGACATCTGGATTATCTCTGTTAAGGTAATTACTCAAAAGTGACTGGTCCTTCCTTCCCACCTAAGATCACAGATTGCTTTCCCATATGAGATCACAGTTAATCTCCAGAGTATTCTTGCGTGGTCAGGAAGATTGGGAATTATTATCCTGATGTATAGATGAAGCTGATGGAAGGGAAATGACTTACTTAATATGTCCCAATGATGAGACCTTCACCCTTACTCCAATAGCCTGTCTAGCATAGTCCACATCACATTTTTTCTCTGTTAGCTCCAGGTTCTAGGGTACAGAGTCTACCCTTTCTCTGATGTTACACCAGAAGGGAAATAAGAAAGCACATGGGCATCATTACTTCCTTTCTACAGATGAGGATATATATAGAGGAAAGTACACACTCAAGGAATTTTAGGGAGGTGTTTGGACACTGAAGCCACCTTTAAGTGGCTTTCCACTGGCCAATTCTGGGACAATTTGAGCCTCAAAATATATAATAATAATAGCACAGGGTAATCCTTTGGGAAAAATGAGAATCTCTCAGTCACACTGATACATACATACACAAATAAATAAGAAGAGAAAACTCTGCCATGTTCTAAACGCCAACTCATAATTTTGAAAGGAATATCAGAAATGTAAAAACAACACTTCACAACTATCATAGAAATAAGTGACGCAGGCAAAAATCATAAATGGATGCTCTATACTAAATCCCCATGAGTCACTGAGTCACCATGGTAACCAGGCTAGCCAAGGAACACTGGGAAAAAACAAACAACCCCTTATATCTTGTTACTAACATGTGCTAGGAAGTGAATATGGCTGATATAATACATAATAATTAGTCTCAACACCTCATAATACACATTTCTGGCAGCTTTAGCAACACACAAATTGATACATTCACAAATATTCATATATATGCATGCCCTCTCCCCAATGCTCTCCCACCATCCAAGATCCCAGGAATTTTTTAAGGTGGGTTTACTGGGGACAAAAAAGTACAACCTCACGTTGTAACATATTCAAATATAGCATAAACATAAAGTTGAACGCCACTAACCCATATTATTTTAGTAATTGACTTTTGTGGAGATTACCTGTAGAACTGTCAGTGGTACATTTTTATCCCTAGTTTCAGGGTATTGCCAATGATTTCTAAAAGCTGATACAGAAATACATGTACATGGACATTAAGCATCAAATACCTTTTCCATCCTAGAGTAGCCTGTGCTTTTTGCCAAGATTCTTCAATAGCTATTATTAAAAATCTGGTTGCTGATGGTTCAGTGAAAATATAATAATTAAGAATTCTATTTAAGAAATAATGCCATTGACAGCGGCATCAATAAGTATGAAATATTAATGAATTACCTGTTCACAGATGTGGAACACTTGTAAATTGAATACTATAAAACATTGCTGAGAGAATTAAGGAAGACCCAAAGAAGTAGGGGGCATACTGTGTTCATGAGTCAGAAGACTCAGTATTCTTAAGATGTTTATTCCCCCACAAACTAATATACAGATTCAGTGCAATCCAAATAAATATTCTACACATTTTTCAAAGAAACTGGCAAGTGGGTGTTAAAATCATATACAAATACAAAGCACCTAAACTATGAAAAACAACTGTAAAAAGGAACAAAAGTATAGGACAAACACTACCTAATTTCAAAACTCATTATAAACCTACAGTAATCAAGACAGTGTGCTATTGGCATTGAAGGGGAAAAGTAGATCAAAAGGACAGAATAAGGAATCCAGAAATAAACCCATGCACAAATGGACAACTGATTTTTTTTTCCATTTATTTTATTGCATTTTAGGTTTTGGGGTACATGTGAAGAACATGCAAGATTGTTGCATAGGTACACACGTGGCAGTGTGATTTGCTGCCTTCCTCCCCATCACCTACATCTGGCATCTCTCCCCTTGCTATCTCTCCCCAACTCCCCACCCCCCACCGTCCCTCCCCTATTTCCCCTCAACTGACCCCAGTGTGTAGTACTCCCCTCCCTGTGTCCATGTGTTCTCATTGTTCAACACCCACCTATGAGTGAGAACATGCAGTGTTTGATCTTCTGCTCTTCCGTCAGCTTGCTGAGAATGATTTAAAGACTATTCAGTGGAGAAAAAAAAATAGTCTTTCAAACAAATGGTTCTGTAATAAGTAGATATCCATATACATATAAATAAACTGTAATCCATATAACACAACATATACAAAATCAACACAAACTGAATTTGAGACCTAACTATAAAATCCAAATGCATAAACCCCTACAAGAAAAGACAGGAGTAAATCCTTGTGACTGAATAGGTAAACCTTTCTTAGATATGACATCAATAAAAACATCTTAACCCTTTAGCAAATTTATCAGGATACTTGGTACTGTGAGGTTGATCTCTGTTCTTCCTGTGTTTACCCTTTCTGCAGGAGGAAGCCAGCCTTTGTGCCCTTTCCCCTTGTCTGAATGGAGGTTTATGGCAGGGCAAAAAGCAGAAGCCAAGGCCCCTCACCTGCCTGTGCCTTTGAAGACACAGAAAGGAGACAGGCGGGAGACTTCTTCCACGCAGGGATGAGATTGGATGTCTACAGGTCCCTCCAGGAGTAGAGACCTGAGCACTCTTCCATATCAGTGCTTGAAGTAGCTCCACGGATGGTCTACTGTGGTGAGGAGTACATGTTTTGTAGCATCTTGTCATGGTAGATTTTCTAGTTTGAACCAAGAGATAGAAGAACATGAGCATGGCTCCATATCAATGCTTGAGGTGGATCCAGCTATGAGACAGATTTCCCTGTTTGGATGGAGGAATGGATGAAGCAGGGTCAGGGGGGCTGAAGGCAACAAGCCAGCTAGGAAAATGCTCAGTCTGAAACAGCTGGGACACATAAGTGGTGATGGCTATGGCCTCTTCAGGCTGTATCTGGATGATAAGTTGCCATAGAAACATTGCTTTGCCAAAGAGCATGAACATTAAAAGCTAGCTTGATTAAACTTTAAAATCTGTTATACGAATGTGTTCCAACAAAATACAAGATGAAAGTGCATGTTTTACTAGATCTGTGCAAATAATGTATTTCACAACATTATTAATATTTGCTAAAGTGATATACTTTTGTTGGAATTTTAGATTACTTTTCACTTTTCCCTATCTTGTTTCTTTATGAATGGCATATGCCTTAGTTCATTTGCACTGCTGTAACAAAATACCTGAGACTAGGTAATTTATAATAAACAGAAATGCACTGGGTCACAGGTTTGGGGGCCAGGGAGTTCAAGATCAAGATGCCAGCATCTTGTGAGAGGTTTCTTGCTGTGTCATCACATGGTGGAAGGCAAGAGGGCGAGAGAGTGAAAGGGGGCCAAACTTGCCTTTGTATAATAACAAACATACCCCTGTAATAATGGCATTAATCTACATGAAGGCAGAGCCCCCCGCCCCCACTTTTTTTTTTTATTAAGAGTCAGTGCCTAACTCTTTAAAAATCACCTCTCCTTTTTTTTTTTTTTTTTTTTTTTTTAAGAGACAGGGCCCCACTCTCTCACCCAGGCTGCAATCATAGTTCACTGTATCCTCAAATTGGAGGACAGTTCGCTGTATTCTCAAATCTCAAGTGATTCTCTCTTAGCCTCCCAAGCAGAAGGGACTACAGGCACACAGCACCATGCCTAGCTAATTAATCACCCAATATCAGAAGCATTTGAATGTAAATATAACCTGCAGAAATACTCACTGGAGCATTTCATATTTTGAATTTTTTGATTTGGGATGCTCAACTGGTCAGTATAATGCAAATATTTAAAAATCTGAAAGCTAAAACACTTCTAATCCCAAGCATTTTGAATAAGTTATACTCAACCTATACCGTAATAATGGCAATCAAATTTCAACACGAGTTTTGGTGGGGACAAACATTTAAACATAGCATCTCATCAATGGCCCCTCAATACTCATGTCCTTTTCACATACAAAATGCATTCATTCCATTCCAATAGCCCTATAAGTCTTCACTCATTCCAACATCAACTCAAAAGGCCTAAATCCAGAGTCTTATCTGACTCAAATAACTGAAGGCATGATTCATCCTGAAGCAAATTCCTCTCCAGCTGTGAGCCTGTGAAATCCAAACAAGTTATATGTTTTAAAACATAATGGTGGGACAGGCAATGGGTAGACACTCCCTTTCCAAAAAGCAGAAATAGACAAGAAAAGAGGGTCCCATCCCAAGTAAGTCCAAAATTCAACAGGGTGAACAACATTAAATTTTAATGCTCCAGAATAAGCTTCCTTAACATCATGTCTTACCTCCTGGATACACTGAGGTGAAATTGGGCCTCCAAGGCCTTAGGCAGTCCTGCCCCTATGGCTTTTCTGGGCTTAGCCCATAAAGCAGTTCTCATAGGTTGGAGTCTCATGGCTGTAGCTCTCTTAGGCTGGTGTTGCACACTAGTAGCCCTACAGTTCCAGGGTCTCTTGGGCAGTCCACTCCCAGAATTCTACTAGACATTGTTTGAGTGGGGACTCTCTGCAGTGGCTCTGACTCAACAGTTCTGACTGGAGACAGCCCTGACTAAGGCAATGCCCAACAGAACTTCTGTATCAAAGCTGGGTTTCCTCTGGGCATTGCCCTAGTGAGGGCTCTCTGATTTTACTCCACCTCTGCAACAAATCTTCAGTGATCCACCTGCCTTGGCCTCCCAAAGTGTTGGGATTACAGGCACAAGCTACTGTGCCTGGCTCCCTTTTAATTACAAATTCCATCTTTAAATCATTTTTCTCTAGCATTTTACTATATGCAGTTGAAGGAAGACACACAACATATTGAATGCTTTTTTGTTTAGATGTTTCTTTTGCTGGATTTCTTAGCTCATTGCTCTTCAACTATGCCTTCCACAAAGCCACAGAAACAATTCAGCCAAGCTCTTTGCTGCTTTATAATGAAGACGGCCGGCCTTTCCTCCAGTTTATAATACTTTGTTCCTCATTTCTGTGTGAGATCTCATCAGAATGGCCTTTATTGTCCATATTTCTACGAACATTCTGATCATTACTAAAGAGTCAAAGATCTTACCAAAATATTTGTCAGGGGGGAAAATGAGGAGAGCAAAATCACCAGGTGGCCATCGAGTAGGCCCTGGAGACAAGAACTCCTTATCTGAGGAATTTAGATGTGTAATGAAGTAAGCCAAGAACACCTGGTGACCATCAAACAGGCCCTCCTGAGGCAAAGTTCCTTATCTGAGGAATTTAGAAGTAATTAAGCTTCCCTAGTGCCTAAAGTTTCCAGGTCTCTTTCAAAACTTTTATAAGTAACTAGAATTTCTATACAACTCTGGAATGTATGCATGCCAAAACTCATTGTGCAACACTTGCTGACATTAAGGCACCAAAATGTCTACAAATGTAATCGCTTATCATGACCTACATGGCTAATATGGTCCAAATAAAATTTAAGCTCCCAGTTTAAGGTCCGTAAACACTGCATTCTTCTGAAACTTTCTTTCTTTCTAATAACTTTCCTTGTTCAAACCTATACTGTTGTCGGTAATTCTTACCAACCTGCTAGTAGACCACTTTCTGATGCTGGGGCTCTGACACCTCACCCAGCAATTACCACTTACGTTATCTCTAAGAAGCTTCAGTCTTTCCCTACAGTTTTCTTTGAGCCCTCACCTGCATTTCTCCATTTATGGAAATTTAGGCTATTCTAGCTTGATCCTCCAAAATTTTCCAGCCGTGGATTATCCACTTCCAAAGCTGCATTTACATTTTCAGATATTTTTTATAGTAACAGCCAGGCTTCTCGACACCAATTTTCTGTCTTACTCTCTTTTTGCTGCTATAAGACAATACCTGAGACTGGGTAATTTATAATTAACAGAATTTTATTGGCTCACAGTTCTGAAGGATGAGAAATCAAAGATTGAGGGACCAGCATCTGGTGAAGGCCTTCTTGGTGTGTCATCACAGGGCAGAAGGCAAGAGGCAAAAGGGAGCTGAATGCACCCTTTTATAACAGATTCACTCCTACAATAATGAACCACCTTCTGTAACAATGACAATCCATTCATGAAGGTAGACCCTTCACAGACCAAACACTTCTCAAAGTCCTATAAACCACAAGTAAAATTCTAAGATCCCCAATGGATTGACAGGCTTCCCCTCTTGGCCAAAGGCATTCCAAAGTAAATCTGAAAATCTAGTTCAGGCTATGGTGGGAATGGGTGGTCAGACATGCCTCAATATATTCTTCTGTCTTTGGGATTCAGGCATAACTAACCAGCATTAACATTAAGAGAGATCTTAAGACTGACAAACAAGACTTTTTATAGCAATAAGACACCAAATTCCAAATTGACTCTAGTATAGCATCACAAGATAGCAGGCCCCAAAAGAAATCAAAGCATTTTATCCCAAAACATATTTCCTTGACATATTTTGAAATGCCCCTGCAAAGCTGTCTCTTCTGGGGAAAATCTAAATTCTGTAAAGAATTCTCTTTCCTTTCCAGGTCTTTCCTCCGATCCAGGAGAGAATTAACTAAGAGTCTGGCACCTTTTTAGGTCTGACAAGAGCTCCGAAGCCTCTCCTTGGAGGCTGCATCTTCATGATAAAACCTCGGTCTCCACAACCCCTTGTCCTAACCCAGACATTCATATTGATTCCAGGTCTTTAGATAACTCTTTCAACCAATTGCCAATCAGAAAATCTTTAAAACCACTTCTAACATGGAAGCCTCCTCCCCAGCTTCCAGTTTCCTGCCTTCCCTGACCAAACCAATGTACATTTTATAAGTATTGATTGATAACTTATGTCTCCCTAAAATGTATAAAATCAAGCTGTATGGGAGGCTGAGGCAGGTGGATCACCTGAGGTCAGGAGTTCGAGACTAGCCCAGCAACATGGCAAAACTTAGTCTCTACTAAAAACACAAAAATTAGCCAGGTGTAGCAGTATGCACCTGTAGTCCCAGCTACTCAGGAGGCTGAGACAGGAGAATCACTTGAACCTAGGAGGTGGAGGATGCAGTGAGCTGAGATCATGTCGCTGCCTGGGCAACGGAGCAAGACTCTGTCTCAAAAAACAAAAACCCAAGCTGTAGCCTGACCGTTTGGGTACATTTTCCCAGAATATCCTGTGGCTGTATTATATGCCATCGGTCACTCATACTTGGCTCAGGATAAATCTCTTCAAATATTGTACCAAGTTTGACTTTTTTTCATTGAAAATCCCACTGAGACAGAGTAGTAGGGATGGGACTTGCCTCTTTAAGCCAAAAAATATCTGAGACAAGTCTCAATCAAATTAGAAAGTTTATTTTGCCAAGGTTTGTCGGAGTCACCACCTGCAGATATCTGTCCTGCAGACCCTGACTCAGCAAGGGATGAATAAAGTACACACAGATATTATGCTTTGTCAGTTCAGCTGAGGGTCTGTGGCTGTTTACAGACTCCCTGGAGAGTGCTATGAACAGTTGCAACCACGGCCCCCCCCGCCAGCCAGTGAGACTCCCATTTATTTAGTAAAGTTTAATTGACAAAGGTTTGAGTCAACACCATTAGTGTGAAAGATGAAATGACAGTTTCCAATGCCAAAAGCAAACACCATTAGTGGATAATATCTAATATCTGGTCAGCCTCCCCCTGAGAGGGCCACCCAGATCAAAGGTTAGTTCTAAGACCACATGAGTAAACAAGTTAGTTAGGTAAACTCCCCCACATACCCCAGCTATTTGCTTTACTTATGAACTAAATGTAAGGGGGATTTAGGCTACCTTCAACTGAAACTTCTTTTGAAACTATATAGAAACCCTGAGGCCTTCCAAAAGGGTTTGAGACTATGTAACTTTCTCTTAATATTTTTGCCACCACCCTCAGTGAATTCCCACAAAGGTTAAGGATGTGCCTGTGACACAGTCCCAGGAGGTCCTGATGACATGTGCCCAAAGTGGTTGGGGTACAGCTTTCTTTTATACATTTTAGGGAGACATAATACATCGATCAATACATGTCAGATTTGCAATAGTTCAATCTGGAAGGGTGGGGCAACTCAAAGCAGGGGTTGGGGGGCTGGGGATGGTGGCTTCCAGGTCATAGGTAGATTTAAACATATTCTGATTGGCAATAGGTTGAAAGAGTTATTATCTATAGAAAAGAATGTCTGGGTTATGATAAGGAGTTGTGAAGACCTAGCTTTTCTCATACAGATGAAGACTCCAAGTAGCAGGTTTTAGAGAGAATAGACTGTAAATGTTTCATATCAGACCTAAGGTTTCTGTTGATATTAATGCTGGAGGGGTACGATGAGGCATGTTCAACCACCACTTCCTGTTATGGCCTGAACTAGTCCTTCAGATTAAATTTTAGTGCCCTCCCTGGCAGAGCAGGAAGTCCATTAAGATGTTTGCATGGGGGGCATTTAAATTTTATTTTTGGTTTATAGCCCTCACCCTCACAAATGCATTTTTGTTTTCCAGGCTTGCTGGGTTCCCACTACATGCGTTTTCCTGAGCTCACTGCACATGCTGTCCCTGGAGCATGGAGGATGCAGCCTGGAGCCAAGAAGATGACAGTGTTGTACACAGCTCTGCACTGGCAATGCACTGTGCATGAGTGGCCCTCAGGACCTTGTGTTACTGCTGCTGGTTGACCAGGCACTGATGGGTACACCAAGGGCACTGGCGATAGGTAGTAGCTTCAGCCCACACCTGCCCATCTTCAGCCTGGCCAAGGGCACCTACATCAGCACGTCCACAGCCTGAAGTCCCCTGTGTTCCACCAAGGACCTCTACTGCAAGCTGATGGGGGGCCCTTGTGGCCAGAAGGGACCCCTACTAGACCATCCAGACCTTACACTATAAATCGTACTCAAGGCACCATACCTGCTGATAACAGGACCTTAAAGAAGACACTCCAACCATAAATCTTCCTCAAGGCAGTTGACCCTAACATCCACATGCACAGAAGACACCAGAATAGCCACTATATGCCCTTCCTGGGCCAGCAGTAGTGAGCAACACCACTATCTTGAACCCACTGAGCATGTACCAAGATTTCATGCAGACACCATAACAGGAAGGAATAAATCACCCCAGGAGGTGGAGGTTCCTGATGTCAATCTCTTTACCCTACCCAATAAAAAACCCAGAGAAACTCCCCTTAGGGAGCCAGCTGGAGGACTCTTTTTCCTGCGCTATCTCCCTTATGCCCAATGTTTCTGGGCATAAGTCTTAATAAACCTTGCCTGGGAAAAGTTTGCCTGGCCTCATGTTAATTCCTATTACACTGAGAACCAAGAACCTCACACCAGTAACACCATCTCCTAAAAAAAGTCACAATGGCAATCAAATTTTCTAACAATGGCAATTAAATTTTGGAGGGGGAAAACATTCTAAACATGGCAGCATATTTCACATGTACATTTCTAAATACAAATATAATGATCCCACTTTATAACTCATATAATATTCTGAAATAATACTAAATTTTAGAAATAAAGCTCAATTGGTGATTTTTTATTTATGCAGAACCCTCTTCATATGGACAATGGGGGGCCATGAAAACTCCATTACCCTTCTAAAAGAGGAAAAATGTGTACAGCTTCTTTGTGGAGATATTTGGCAATATTTTTGAGAAAATCAAGTGAGGTCCCCATCAGCTACCGTGCTCTTAGCTCTGAATTGCAGAGAGTCTTGGGCCCTTGTGTTAAGAATGGTCACAGCAGCTAAAAATATCAAAACAGCCTCAAAGTTGTCTTACTTACAGATATCTCAGAAACACTATTTTAAGAGAAAAAAGTGCAAAAGGGCATCTATTTTTTGATGACACATCATATATTTATAGATAAACATGTACAATTACATTTTTGTATAATTTTCTCACAATGACTCTATGAGGAAGGCCTCATTTTTTCTCATTTTGAAGATGACAAAATCAAACTCACTGATGAAAAATCAATTTTTTCAGACTCTAGTAAGAAGCGGAAATGATATTCTACCTCTTAACATCCCCAAAGCATACCCCAAAGTCTCCTTTATAGATGATGACTTTCAAGGACTTAAAAACATATAGCTTTACACATTTCTAGTATTGTGCCCTCATGGATACTAATTCAACAGCCTCTCTCTCTTTGAAGAAGCTGATTGTACAGATGAAATCTGGGTGCAGGATCCTGTAGGTGGTATAAAGGTCAAGGTATAAAGGTATAAAGGTCAAGGGCTTGTGATTCCTGCCTTCTCTTTATTTGCACTCTCTTCATTTTGGACTCAACAGGAAATGGCTTTTCCAATGTCAATCTAGAAGATCAAATAAGGGAACAGAAAATAATGCAAAATTGAAGAAATGATTTGACAATATTCTTCCCTCTCCCCATATCCCTCAGCAAAGTCCTGCAACAGAGAAAGTTTCCAAAGCTTTATTCATAATGTAAGTGTGAGTATGTTCTACTTCCTGCTCCATTTCCAGGTGGTCTCTATGTCAGTCATATTGATGACAAGTAACTGTCATCACTTCTTTGGGAAGGAGGAGAAAGTTGGGCCAGGATGACCATCTGTTGAAGTCCTACTAGATGCCATCTACTCTATACAAATTTCTAACTTACCCCACAGAAAAGTTTCCTAAGGAAGACACTGTGAGTCCCCTTTTACAGATGATCAAGGGCAGGCTGACAAAGGCTGAAAAAAGATTCCACTATCATACATGAAGTGAGGCGCAGGAATGGGGTTCAAACTTTTGTCTTTATGATGGTATTTTTATGCATTCCTAACAGAGGTGATATTACTACTAATGGGTTGAAAATTGGTTCTTGAGGGTAGAGAGATGGTAGACATTACACTGGTTTATTGTATTACAGAGGACCATAATATATAAACAGTTAACACTTCATCTGTGGTATTAAAATTTCATGTTCTGGGCAGAAAGGGTATGTAAGAAAAAACATGTCTAAAATGGCCTTCATCAAGAAGATGGTGGAAGAAGGTTGAGAAACACTGCATATACCCCATGACCTCTTATGTAGATGATGGGCTATGAGGGCCTAGGGACTGGTCATTTTACAATCTCCCATGGGCACTCACGCAACAAACTCTGTTAGTGATGAGGGTTGAAATGAAATATGCAGGCTGGGGCCAAGAATCCTGGGAATGGGGACCATGTGAATTGACTGGTTTTTAAAGTGGGAAGCACACAGGGACTCAGTCAGGAAGAGAGACGTTTCCTCTGGGACAGATAACATGAGGGTAGGAAGTCAATGTTGACAAAACTAATACAAGAAAGAAGTACTATAAGCTGTATCTCCTTTAATCTTTTTTAATCAAGTAATCTATTATAAAATATACTTTAGATCAGGCTATAGGAAATTAGGAGAGGTTCAATAAATCAGAGAAACTGCTTTATTAATGTCTGCTCAATAATAGATTCTGGAATTTCAGGAGGGGGAATAGCTTGGGGGTAGAGCATTGGACTGCAGACCAAGATTCTGGAATTTCACTAAAGCTTTTCCTGTTGTGCCCTGAAGCCACCAGGAATCTGAGTTCTGTAATCTTCCTGAGCACTCACATGTAAAGCTGCCCAGTGTACTCCTTAATTTATGTATATAATGAGCTATATTTTAAATTATATTGAAAAATTTAAAACATTGTATATGATAAAAGAAATCATTCAAGTTGTCTGTGTAGGCTATAGCAAACACTTGCAAAGTATATGGGGCTGATGCTCATAATATATGAAGCATTCTCAGTAACAGGTATGGAAAGAAGGTCTAATGATGACATTGGTAGGCAGCCTCTAAGATGTCCCCAGTGATTGTCACCTCCAGATAGTCACTTCCTTGTGCAATCTGTTCTATCTTTGGGCTGGAGTTAATGACTTGCTACTAGTAGAAAGAATATTCCAGAAGAGGAGATGGATGTCGTTTTTCACATTAAATGACTAAGAGGCTGTGTCTTGCTTGTTGGGTACATTCTTATTCTTGCACTAAGGAGAGCCAGCTGCCAGGTCGTCAGCTACCCACATGGCAAGTAATCTATGTCCCTGGCTAAGAAGCAGTAAAGCCCTGAGGCCTGCCAACAGCCATATGAATGAGCTTGGAATTGAATCTCCCTCAGTTGAGCCTTGAGATGCCAGCAGCCCCTACCTAGACCTTGACTGCAGCCTTGTGAAAGACCCTGAGCTAGAATCTTTTCCATGCCATGATTCCTGACCCAAATAAATGGTGTGAATTAATGTATGTTTGTTGTTATAAGCAGTGAAATTGTGGGGAAATTTGTTATGTAAGAATAGAAAAATAATACAGATATACACAGAGAATACATGTAAAAAGTAATACATATGCCCAAGAAATATTTGCAAATACATTCACCAATGAAATGCAAATTAAAACTTATACAGAAGCTATTTTTCATGAAAAGGGACAAATTGCAGAGCCACATGAATAGTTACAAGTCCCATAGAAGGGCAGGACTCCTGACCTCAGATCAGAGAGCCATGGGACTCACATTTCCTGAATGCTGGTACTTTTTCATCTTATGTATTTTCTGTGGGGTAGAGGACACAACTGCTACACTGTTTTGTAGCTGAAGAAACAATGTATGGGGAGGTTAAGTAACTTGGCTAAGGGTCATCCTGCTACTAAGTGCAAAATTAGACAGTGGTATGCTATATGTCCTTTTGCAAAATTGTGACCCTCAGCTGCACATTACACCATAACCAAGTAAATCTTGCTTTCCTACCGACCCAAGATAAAAATCCATGAATTACCAGCACATATTTGACATATCATGCTTTCATCCTTCCATCCATCCATACATACATTCTTACACGTAACAGGCATTAAGGTCGAACTACGCCATCCCTTTGGTTAAGTTTTAGGTTTCTCCATAATGGATCAAGCAATTGAAGTGTGGAAAGGGTGGTGCAGCAAATTCAGATGTCAGATCTAACAAAAGATGGTTCATTCCTATTAATATTTCAACCTGATAAAGTCTCTTACAATTGATGATTGTAACATATAATTTAATGCCCTGGACCTCTCTATATATATCTAGTTGCTGTCCTCTTTATATATATTCTCTTCCTTGTAACAAAGTTCTACAAAAATTATCAATTCTCAACGCATATCCCTCTAAATCTCCCCCCAACTCAGTTGTTGCTCCACTCTAATGGTACTTTCTTTGTTCCCCCAACCCTCTACTGAAATGAGCCTTGCCAAAGTCAACAACCATGTTTTTGATGCTTTCCAGATCAAGGGTATTGAAACGAACATTCAAATGGAGACAATGTTTTTGTTTTACAAGGCAGAATTCACCTGTTTGTGTACAGACAAGGATTATATTCCAATGCTGTCATTATCTAAAAGTTAAAGTTGTAAGATAGCTTTCATAGTGTCAGAGTCTGATAACATGAAACCTGTGCTATAGACATTGCACTTTCAAATGAAGCACACATTTTCCCCTGCATTCCATACTTTGGCTTCACTGAAAGGGATTATGTGAATAGGTTTACTGAATGATAACAATAATTTTGCATGATCACTTCAAATAACCTCTATCTTCTCTGTTTTTATTTCCTTCTGAAGGGATTTCCAAGTATGAAACTCAATAATCTGAAACAATAATGTCTCATATTTGTCTGGTTAAATGTGTTATCTACAAACCCTGTCTAATATACTACAGTTAGATGATATGATAGTACTGAAACATTATGATGGTAATGGGGAACTCTTTTGTGGGTTCCTGACTCTTAAGTCAAAATACTTATACTGTATCACAGAAATCATAATGCTGGATTTTCTTTTGGAATAAACCCATCCAGTAAATAACCCAACCTATATGATATATATATATATATATATATATATATACTTATAGAAGTAAATATGTAAATTAATAAAGAAATAGGTGTGAGGGGACAAATTGTCTTTATCAAATAATTCCAAATAGTGCATGTAGATACCCTCCCTCTATGAGGTGAAGCTTAATTCCATCTCCCATCACCTGATGGCAGGACAGACTTAATAACTTACTTCTAAAGAACAAAATAGGCAAACGAAAACAGTTGCTGTACATTGAAGAAACTTGGCAAATACTGCCTTAACCAAGTGATTAAGATTAATATCACCAGTGAAGTCAGATGGGTATCACATACTCCCAGATATGAAGTGACAAGAAGGGCAGTTCAATTCTGGTATTTTTTCTCAGAACCCATTACCTCAGTCTAAAAAAATAAAATTAAATTAAAAACCTGACTAAGCCTATACTCATCACTGTCAGAATCATGAAAATAGTTTAGTAGTTCTTCAAATGGAAAAATAGAGAGTTACCATATGGCACAGTAATTACTTTCCTACCCGAGATAAATCTCTACATAAAAATGTGTAAACAAATGTATGTAAAATCATTATTCATAATAGCAAAAAGTAGAAATAACCAGAGTGTTCATCAATAGGTGAATAAATAAACAAAATGTGGTCAGTCTATGCAATAAGATATTTTTAAGCTATTAGTTGGAATGGAATTCTGACCCATGTTACATTACGAAGGAACCTTGAACACATTATAATAAGTAAAAGATGCAGACACAAAATACCAAATATTATTTGATTCCATTTACATAAAATGTCCCAAATAGGCAAATGCATAGACAGAAAATATATCTGTGATTGCATAGGGCTGAGTGTGTGTGCAGGGATTAACTACATTCAAGCATAATGGGATTCTTGGGGATGATAAAAACTAATAAAAACCCAATTACGGTGATGGTTGTACAACTCTTTACATTTGGTAAAAATAATCTAGGCCGGGCGCGGTGGCTCAAGCCTGTAATCCCAGCACTGTGGGAGGCCGAGGCGGGTGGATCACGAGGTCAAGAGATCGAGACCATCCTGGTCAACATGGTGAAACCCCGTCTCTACTAAAAATACAAAAAATTAGCTGGGCATCGTGGCGCGTGCCTGTAATCCCAGCGACTCAGGAGGCTGGGTCAGGAGAATTGCCTGAACCCGGGAGGCGGAGGTTGCGGTGAGCCGAGATCGCACCATTGCACTCCAGCCTGGGTAACAAGAGCGAAACTCCGTCTCAAAAAAAAAAAATTAATAATAATAATAATAATAATCTAAATACCCTTAAAATGTGTGAGGTTATGATTTGTAAGCTATAGTCTAATGAAGGTGTTTAAAATATGATATTGGGCAGGAGGCAGAGCAAGATGGCTAAATAGAAGCCTCCACCAATTGTCCTCCCTCTGGGAACACCAAGTTTGACAACTATCTACACAAGGAAGCACCTTCGTAAGAACCAAA